CCACATGCTCGCCGTTGCGTCGTGAGCCAACCAAGGCGCAGCAGCGGCTGTTGCCAACGCCACCACGCAGGCCCACGCCATCATCAGCACGCGTTACCATCAACAAGCTGTCATCACCAACACCGACAACTACCACGACGACGCCACGAAGACGGCGCCTCCCTCGCCGCCCAAGCAAACCGCAGCTCACACCCGCAGCAACCGTCTCACGCCCTTTGCCCCAGTAAACAAACGTACGTGATGGGAACAGCGACCATTGCCCAAGGGGGCAATTGGGCAGAGAGGGCTTTAAGGGCTTTAGGAGGAGGGAAGGAGTGAGCGTCAACACTCGCACGCGGAATAATCACTGGCACCATTGCCAATTATCGACAATCCTTTGCCTCTCCAAAGAAAGCAAAACAACAACAACAACAAGCAGCAGCGATGTCGCGGCTGTTTGCGTGGCTGGCTCTGCTGGGTTTGGTGGCTGCAGTGGCGATTGGAGCACAAGCAGAGGAGAAGACTGATGCGACTGGCCAGTACTATCAAGGTGAGCGAGATCCGTGGGGGGGGGGGGTGCTTGTGTTGGGCGAACTAGTTTGGTTTGGGTTGAGGTTTGTTGGTTTGGGTTGGTGTGATGCGAGTGGCGAAAGTAAGTGTTCACTGACATGCTGACGCTCACACCAACACACGCGCTCACAACGATGCATTCATTCACGATGCCACCTTGTTTCGTGCAGATGTTGGTCGTGGCGTGCGCCTTTATTCGGACGATCCCATCGAGTTTGTGATTGTGGACACCAAGGATGGCGCTCTTCGGGTGCGTGTGTGTGTGTGTGCGTGTGTGTGTGTGTGATGGGCGCGTGCGTATGTGTGTGTGTGTGTGCGTGTGTGTGTGCTTTCGCACACTCCTCTCTCCCCCTCTCTTCTCTCCCTCTCTCTTCTCTCCCCCTCTCCTCTCTCCCCCTCTCCTCTCTCCCCCTCTCTCTTCTTCTCTCTCCCCCCTCTCCTTCTCCCTCCTTCTCTCTCCATCCCGATCTCTGATTGTATGCATGATGCAAAGGACTTTGTCCCTTCTTGTCACACCACAGCAGCGCCAGCTCACATGCACTCCACCACTTTCATCATCATGGGCAGGGCACACGCGTCAACAACACAGACTACTTCCTTGGCATCCCGTTTGCAAAGCCACCGGTAATGTACATGGCATATGCGATCCATATCAACTTCCCCCTCAATCACCCTGCGCACTGTCTCTTCGCACAACCACTGCATGCGTGTGAGCTGACCTCACCCCTCACGCTTGCACGTGCGTGCGATGTGCCAACCACCACCACCACCACAGGTGGACGATCTTCGCTGGCGCGCACCTCAGCCCGTGCAGCGCTGGTCCGGTGTTCGCGACGCCAATCTCTACGCCCCAGACTGCACATCCAGGTGGGCACAAACAAACAAATGCGCCAGTGTCTCTGAAATGCGTGCGTGCGTGCGTGCTTGTGTGTATGTGCGCGTGCGTGTGTGTGTGTGTGTGTGCGCGCGCGCGCGTGTGTGCATACCGGTGTGTCGGCATGACTTCAACCGCAAGAGTGCCACCACACGAACACAGCCATAGTCATCGCCTCACTCCCTCCATGCGATTTCCCCATCCGTGCCCCTCAACAGCAAGTCCAACTACATCTATCTTGGCAACACGTCCGAGGACTGCCTGTACCTGAACGTGTTCCGTCGCTCCACAGACTACAGCAAGGAGAAACTGCCTGTCATGGTGAGTTGGAGGAGAGAAGACAGCGTGCAGTGGTCATGTGTGTGAATTGTGTGTGGTGTGCACACGTGTGCTAGTGTGCGTGTGAATGTATGTGGCGTGTGTGCGGTGTATGTATGCGTGCGTGTGTGTGTGTGCACGTGCAAAGTGTGCTTCGGTTGCTCCTCACCTTCCCGCAATCGATCCTCTGTTCACTTCAGGCCTGGCTTTACGGTGGCAGCTGGGAATACGGTGTGTGATGTGCAGTGACACGCACGCGCGTGTGTTCGTGCGCATCTCTTGTGTGCACGTGCCAGCACCTTGCCTGTTTGTGTGTCATGTGATGTTGTGACACCCATCAATCCATCCATCCATCAATCCATCAATCCATCAATCCACCAATCCATCAATCCATCAATCCACCAAGCCCAAGCACAGCTGCCTCGCACGTGACAACCTGCCCTCGCATACTTACGTGTGTTCATTCATGCGCATCATGCACGCGCGTGCACATTACAGGCGGCTCGAGCTTCATTGTGTATGACGGCGCAGCGATGGCTGATATCGGCAATGTGATTATCGTCACCATCAACTACCGTCTCGGCGCCTTTGGTTACGCCGCCGCCCCCGCCTTGCAGAAGGAGGACAAGCACAACAGCACAGGCAACTACGGTGTGTGTGTGTTTGATTGTGTGTGTGTGTTTTGTTTGCGCGTGTGTGTTTGATTGTGTGTGTGTGTGTGTGTGTGTGTGTGTGTGTGTGTGTGTGTGTGTGTGTGTGTGTGTGTGTGTGTGCCTTTGTGTGTGCGTGTGCCTTCGTGTGTGTGTGTGTGTGGGTGTGTGCGTGTGTGTGTGCGTGTGTGTGAGCGGAGGACACTCTCACGCCCAACGTGAACATATTCAAGCAATCTCACCGCCAACCACCAACCAACACCGTCCATCTGCATGCGTTGTTGGCGGCAGGCACACAGGACCAGCGCGCAGCCCTGCAGTGGATCCAAGACAATATTGCAAACTTTGGCGGCGATCCAAAGAACGTGAGCCCACAGTGATGGTGGTATGGCGGTAGTAGTAGTAGTGGTGGTGGTGGTGGTGATGCACATGATGCGGCAGATATCATGTACATCCATGCACCTCCACTCCTGTTCTTTGCTTGCGTAAGAGGTGCCAAGCTTCCTCTTGTCGCACTCACAACAACAACAACCACCACCACCACCCCCTCGTCATTATCATCATTCACATCACCACCACCACCGCGATGTTGATCGTTCAGGTGACGCTGTTTGGCCAGAGTGCCGGCGGTGCCTCCACCAGCAACCATGTCGTCATGCCACGCAGGTGCGCCCCGCTGACTCGTGTTGGCGGTTGTGAGTGGTGGTGATGGTTGATGTGGTGGTGGTGGTGGTGGTTGTAAATGTCGGGGATGATCGTGATGATCGTTCTTCGTCACATCACGGCCCCCCCCCCCTCTACCATGCCCGTTCCTCCTCACATTTACACACACAAGCACACACACACACACACACACACACACACACACACACACACACACACACACACACACACACACACACACACACACACACACACACACACACATACATACATACATACACACACACACACACACACACACACACACATGACCGTCGCCATCATGTGACGCGTGCAACCCCACGTGCAGCAACGGGCTGTTTGACAAAGTTGTGATTGAGAGTGGCCCACCAAGTGCGTGGACGTACAAGACACTCAACCAGTCGTCATCGCACTTCTCCCGAATTGCATCTGCCGTCGGCTGCGCTGCCAAGACCAGGTAATTGCGGTTGTTGTTGTGGTGGCAACAGGTGTGGTTGTGGGGTGGTGGTGGGGGCGGTAGGATGTTGGTAGTTGTGGCTTGAAACTTGGTTTGCAAACGTCGTGCGTTTGCGCGCACGGTTTGTCCGCCATTCACATCCAACGACACACACACACACACACACACACACACACACACACACACACACACACACACACACACACAGCGAGGAGGAGGTTGCGTGCATGCGCGGCGTCAACACGACGGAGATCTGGCGCCACCAGGAGAACGACCCGTCTGTGCAGATTGACTGGGGTCCCACCATCGATGGCGTCGAGCTCACCGATGCCACATGGAAGCTCTGGAAGGAGGGTGCGTTGTTGCCATGCGTGTGTATGTGTGTGTGTGTGGTGTATGTGTGCGTGTGTATGTATGTGTGCGTGTGTGTGTGTTTGTGTGTGTGCGTGTGTGTGTGTGTGTGTGCGTGTGTGCATGTGAATGCCTTTCAAAGCGTGCGTCAGCATTATCGCCTGTTGTTTGCGCGCCGCTGACATCCCATCTCCTTCCGCTCTTTTTTTTCATACGTCACCTCACAATCATCCCCCCTCCCCCTTCGCTCGGCTGTGCTTGCAGGCAAGGTGAACAACGTCAGCGCGATGATGATTGGCACTGTGAAGGACGAGGGCTCGCTCTTTGTTGAGCACATCAAGCCCAAGGCCACGGAACAGGACCTGCAAACCTGGATCAGCACCACGTTCACCGGTGCGCTATGACGAACTTGACCTGCAGTGGTGGTGGTGGTGGTGCAAACAGGGCGGGTGAACGACAGATTGGAGAGGCGCACTTCTTGGACGTGGCTTGTGATGACGATGATTGTGATGGCTACGGCATGTTTCTGTTCTCATCACCACCACCCCCACCACCCCACCACCTTTTCCTTTTCCTTTGCGCCGCTGTCATGTTGCTTGCAGGCAACCTGTCTGATACCATTCGCAAGCTCTACTCTGCGTCCCAGTACGACACACCGTTCCTCGCCGCCAGCGCCATCCTCAGCGACGCGTGAGTGCAGTTGTGATTGTGTGTGTGTGTGTGATTCTTTGTGACTGATTGTGTGTGAGTGTGTGTGTGATTTGTTCATTGCACACTCTTGCATTTTTCTTTTGTCTCCCCTATCACATACTCACAACCACACACACACACACACACATCACCACACACATCACCACACACATCACTACACACATCACCACACACACATGCACACGCGTGTCCACCTCATTGCACCACCAGTGAGATGACGTGCAATGCGCGCCGTGCCAGTCGGGAGATGACCAACAGGGGTGTGCCCTCGTTCCTGTACTCCTTCACCCACCTCCCCTTTGTTGTCAAGCTCGCCGAGCCAGGCTACGGTGTTATGCACTCCAGGTCAGAACTGTGATGCGTTATGTTGGTTGTGTTTGTGTCGTTTGCATGTCTGTCCGATGGTTTGTTTGCGTTGCTTTGTGTTTGTGGCGGGTTGGTTGTGTGGGATGGTTGTGTTGGTTGCGCTGGCTTGTGTTCGTTGCTTCTCTGTGTGTGTTTGCGTTGTTTGTTTGCTGTGTCTGTGCGAGTGTGTGTCTACCGTCGCTGGGACGCTGTGCAAGCGTGTGGCACATGTTCACATGCGTGTGGCACACATTGACATCACCCATGACGCAATCCCCTGCCATCACCAGCGAGGTGCCGTTTGTGTTCCGGTCCCGCCTCCTCCTCCTCGGAAAGGGCGAAGTAGAGCTCGCCAACAAGGTGCACACGTGTGTGGTTGCTTGCAAGCTCGGCGCTCACGTATACACCACAGCACAGCACAGCGCAATGGAGAGTTCACATCCATTGCTGCTTGTGTCGCACCCTGCTTCAGAGTCCCCGCACACACACACACACACACACACACACACACACACACACACACACACACACACACACACACACGTGCAGGTTGTGCGGTACTGGACCAACTTTGCGTGGAGCGGCGACCCCAACATCGGACAGGATATGAAGCCGACGCCTGGCGCCGTGCCCTGGCCCCAATTCTCCCCACAGTACAACACCTACCTCAACCTGGTGCGCACTGTGTGTGCGTGTATGTGTGTATGTGTGTGTGTGTATTGGGTGTGTGCGAATATGATGTGTGCGTGTATGTGCTGTGTATGTGCTGTGTATGTGCTGGTCTATCAAACCCATCCGCTTCTTGTCTTTTCGCAATGTCTCACACGCGCCTTATTCTTCCCCTTCCCTCTTCCCCCTCCCTTTCGTTTCTCCCACAACCACCACACATATACACAATCATATGTACACACACCCGCTGTCACTTCAGAACATGACGATCACGCCCCAGCAGAACTTCACCTCCAACGCCAAGTGCGACTTCTGGGACAAGGTGTACGCGTCTGGCTGCAGCCTCTCCCATCTCCCCGTCCCTTGCGACTTCTGATGCGCACGCGCCCAATGACACACACACCCGCAAACACGCACAAGCGACGGAGTTCATGCTACGCTTGTTCCTTGTCGTTTTCGTTGTTTGCGTGGTTGTTCTCCCCCCCCTCCAATTCCCATTCTTACTGTTGTGGCTGTTTGCCCTGGTTGTGCTATCTGTCTGTCTGTCTGTCTGTCTGTCTGTCTGTCTGTCTCTCTCTCTCTCACTCACTCACTCTCTCTCTCTCTCTGTCGCTTGCGTTACAATCGCTCGTGGCTACCTTCCTTTTCTGTTCTTGCCCTTGTTGGCTGCTGTTGATGCTGCTGTTTGTTTGTCGTTCGCCGATTGAAGCATAGCAGCCACTTGCAAGGGGCAGGCATGGACGACGTTAGGGTCTTGTTCTGCATACACACACACACACACACACACCCACACACACACACACACACACACACACACACACACACACACACACACACACACACACACACACACACACACACACACACACACACACAAACCTGCTGACTCAGCAGAAATGAGGGGAATGTTTTGGTTGAGGGAGCGATTCGTTTTTTTTTTCTTCGCCCACACACACACACAAAGCACCCACCATCAATCTCACACACACACACACAACAGACTCTGCTTGCTCGGCAGCCCGGCCAGCTGAGACCTCGCCACAGCAACAACAGCTGCAGCTGCAAAAGCATAGATAGCTTCATCGTACATGAGAGAGTGTGTGCGTGCATACGTTGTGCGCTTTCCATCGTGAACATCAGCACCTGCTGCGTCCATTCGAAGAAGAAGCAGCAGCAGTTAACTGCAACTTTTGTTCTCGGCGCTGCTTTGGTTTGGATAACATATTGGACGACGCCAGCTGCGCGCCTGTCCTTGCTTTCAACAACGTTTTCCTTCTTGCACCACACGCGTGTCAAGACAACGGTGACGTGCCTGCAGCGAGTCTCAGTCCCTCACACATCACCGTCAGCATGGAAGGTGTGTGCGTGGTTGTACATGTTTGTGTGTTTGTGCGTGCTCGGTTGCACCCCTGTCCGTGTGTGCAATGTGCGTGCGTGCAATGTGTGTGTGTGTGTGTGTGTGTGTGTGTGTGTGTGTGTGTGTGTGTGTGTGTGTGTGTGTGTGTGTGCGTGCAATGAATGCGCGTGCGTGCGTGCAATGTGTGTGTGTGTATCATTTCAACCATGAGCTGTTGTTGCACTTGCATTGGTACGCGTGCACGCGATGCATGCCAACATAGCCATGCCACGTACCTGCGCATTCACCTCCCCTTACGTATGAATCCTGTTGTCTGCCACCACCACACACTACCACCATGCCCTATCACACCACCACTCCACTCGCAGGCTCTGGCGACGGAGCCAGGGCGCCGCGGTTACCGCCAAAACCCCGCCTTCAAATCAACACAGACACGGCACCAGCAACGGCAGGGTCGTCCTCATCGCGGCCCGTGCCTCGCCCTCGGTCGGGGACGCCGTCTCCACAGCCGCAGCTGCACTCGCCACCACAGCCGCGCCCGCGCAGCCAGCAGCCCCACAGTCCAGGCAGCCACCCGGACCGGCTGTCTGTGCCACACTCCCCATCCAGCCACGGCGCCGCGCCAACAGCAACATCATCGTCAGCAGCTTCATCAACATCAGCGTCCGTGCGCGGCAAGCCACCGCTCCCGCAGAAGCCTGCCGCCCTTGCAAAGCCCAAGGCACGGCACTCGCTGCCACTTGAAACACGTGGGCGAGGCACAGATGCATCTGCTGGTCATGACAGCAAGATGAAGCGGAGATCAGAAGGGCATGGCAGTAACGGTGACGATGATGCTGGTGGAGAGCATCGTGGCCGAGCAACGGCTTCATCACGACAGTCCCCGCCAACAGCAAAGCCCGTCATTCCAAGCAAGCCCTCATCCTTGCGTCCACGCAGTCAGACAGCAACCGAAAAGCTCGGTGTGTACTTGAGTGTGCGTGTGTTTGTTTGTTTGTTTGTTTGTTCGTTTGTTTGTTCGTTTGTTTGTTTGTGTGTGTGTGTGTTTGTGTTTGTTTGTTTGTTTGTGTGTGTGTTTGTTTGTTTGTTTGTGTCTTCGTGTTTGCTTGTGCACCTTCTGCACACACACACACACACACACACACACACACACACACACACACACACACACACACACACACACACACACACACACACACACACACACACACACACGCATGCGACACGCTTGATTGTGTGTGGCCACTGTCCACAACCGCTGTCTTCGCACGACAGTGCCTCAGTTCCCACCCATCCCTCCAGTCTCAACGCACCTCCCTCACCACCCCCCCCCCCCACCTCTCTGTCTGTTGTGTTCAGCGACGGCACGCGATGTGAAGGTGAACAGGTCCGGCAAGCCATCGCCACCGCGGCCACCGCCCCCAAAGAACGGCGGCACGCACCTGACAGCACCAATGTCGGCGTCGTCACCATCATCGCCGCTGACGCAACGACGCGGCGCCAAGCCCGCACGCCCACCCGCGCCCCGCACAGGGTCACCCATCACCACAACCGTGCCCATCTCGGCAGCAGCATCAGCATCAGCGTCGAAGACAGCATCTGCAAAGAGCACACCACCACGCCCGCCCGTCAAGCCGGCCAACCTCTCGCCCTCACTTGCCACAACTACAGCGGCAACTACAGCGGCAACATCGTCACTCAGCCACAACACAACCCCAGACAAGCAGCAACAGCAGCAACAGCAGCAACAGCAGCAGCAACAACAGCAGCAGCAGCGTGCACGGCGACCACCACCACCATCGCATCCACCGCCGTCACGCTCAAGCGATGCCAGTAAACCATCACCCGACAGCAAGCCTGCGCCCCCACCCCGTCGCAAGTCCATGTCCACAGCGGAGGCCGCGCACCAACGCCGCCGCCAACGCCTACAGCGGCAGCTCGCTGATGGCGATGATGGGGCAGGTGGCACATCGCGTTGTGGCGATGATGAGGGCGATGGGAGCCAGCACCGGCGCAGGTCTGATCCAACCCGACACGCCAGCGGCAGCGGCAGTGGCAGCGGGAGCAACAGCAGCAGCGGTGCGGGCAGTCGCGAACATGTTGCTGTTCCCATTGCCAACAGGCCGCAGCCGGGGTGTCGTGATGACACCGCGTCGCATGGCAGAGCAACGCAGCCAACGCCCCCACCAACCGCTGCGAAACCAACACAGGGCGGCGTGTCAGCCACCTCATCCGTCGACACCACAACACCAGCGTCACCCGTGCCGTCGTCATCGTCGTCGGCCAACACCTCGACGGCCGCCACCCCGTCTGCCGCCATTGCTGCGATGGAGAGTGGTGGCATGCGAAGGCGATCAAGCAGCGAAGTCCCGCTGTCATACGCGCGTCGGCCACGGCAGCACAGCAGAGGCAGTCCACCAGATGCACACGTGCACGCTGCCAGTGGTATCACTCCACATGCTGGCAGTGGCAGTGGTGGCGGTGGCGGTGGTGGTATGGTGCACAGTGCGACAGCCAGCACCAGCACGTTGGTGGTGACGCGTAGTTCCAAGCGCACGTCGCTGCCCGAAGGCGTGCCTGCAGGCACGACCAAGCCCACACCCAAGCCCAAACCAAAAGTACCGAGCAGACAGACATCTGGCAACGACGACGAGGACGACGATGGCAACGGCCGCAGTGGCAGCAGCAGCAGCAGAGCCGGCAGTGCAATGTCGCACACGAGCGGGCGCGTCAGCATGGGCAGGTTTGAGCCAAGCGTGTCCCCCGTGAAGGAGGTTGGCAACGGTGACGGGGTTGACGGTGCTTGTGAGCACGGGCGTAATGATGCTCACGGCAGTGGCAAGGTGGCGATTTTGCCGCCGAGAACGACTGGGGCATCAACATCCACAAGGACAGCCGCAACAACGCAGCCCATTCCCTTGCCTGCAAGCACGCGACCCCAGCCACGCCCCCGCAGCACATCCTCCACGTCATCCCAGCCGGGCGCCGTTGGTGGCAGCCAGGGGTACAAGCCAAGCCCCGCGCCACGCAGCCTGCGCGAGAAGACGAAATCCATCGAACTTGTGTCCATGCACGCACCAACCACATCGTCAACACAGCCAACAGCAGCAGCACGCCGCAAGCAGCAGCAGCCACCGCCCACGATTCACGAAGAGGATGAAGATGAGGGCGGTGGTGGCGATGGGGTTGGCACACACGTGCCTGCAGCAACAAGGACGTCAGCCATTGCAGCAGCAGCGGCAGCGGCAGCGGCAGTGCGGAAGGAGGGGAAGACCCAGCCGCCACCAACACCTCCGTCACGCCGCAAGCCCGTGCTTGCAGGCACACATGCCAAGGGTAGCGCTGCTGGTGTTGGTGGTGTTGGTGGTGGTGGTGGTGGTGGCGACGAGAACGACGTGGAGGGCGAGGATGGTGATGAGATGAGTGCCATTGAGCGAAAGCGGCTGGAGCGTCGTCAGAAGAAGAAGAAAAAGAAGAAGAGGCAACAGCAGCGCAGCAAGCAGCACCCGCGCCACCTGCGAAGCGACAACAAGCCCGCACCAGGCCCACCACCTGGCCCAGAAGCCAGTAGCGACAGGCGTGTCAGCGGCGGGGTTGGTGGAGGAGGGCGTGATGGTGGTCTGTTGGCGCATGATTTCGTACAGGAACTGAAGGAGACGTCATCACGACGTGGATCACATGCACGCGGCAATGGCGGTGATGGCGATGAGACAACGCCCACGCCACGAGGGTCAGCTGGTGGAGGAGATGCAGCGAAACCATCCACTGCTGCGTTTCAGTCTGAGCTCCACCGTGTGCTGGCGTCAAACCCACCTGCACATGCACAGGCACGCGTACAGGCACCGCCCCCCGGCGGCTACGATGACAGCAGCACGCAGGATGACGAGGAGGACGATGGCGCGGACTACGCTGTTGTCGACGTGCACCCACCACATCAGCACGGGCACGTCCACCCTGGTGCACCCGCCCATGGGGCCACTCATGGCCACGGCCACGTTCTCGGTCACGGTCACAGCAGCGGGGACAACGAGCCGCCATCGCCAACAGCGAGTGACGCGACGTCGATTGACTCCTACAGCATGTCCAAGTCCTCTGCGCTGAGCACGAGCGAGCCCATTGCCTTTGAATCCTTCTACGACCAGCTTCGCGACAGGCTCAGGGTGCGTCGGTGTTGCATGCGTTGTGTGTGTGTGTGCGATTCTTTGTTTGAACTCACATGTTTCTGCACTGTATACACAACATACACCAAACACACTACCCCCCCCCCCTATACACACATCACCACCACCACCACCACCACCACCACCTGCTGGCGCTGCGTGCCATTTGCATCAAAGGCGGAGAGCGAGCACTATCGGCAGGTGCTGCGGCCGGATGAGCCGCTCGATCCAACCAAGGTCGACGATTTCATCATCATCAAATTCACCGTCGAACGCATGCGCTTCGAGGTACGCTGCTGCTGCTGCTGCTGCTGCTGCTGCTGTTGCTTTGGAAATTATGGTGATGCTACGTGTGTGTGTTTTGATTCCTCGTGTTTGCAAGGAGGTGCATGCCGTGAAGTGTTGGTGCACACACACACAGAATGCATCCCTTTGCACACACACACACACACACACACACACACACACACACACACACACACACACACACACACACACACACACACACACACACACACACACACACACACACACACACACACACACACACACACACACACACACCCATCGACGCTGCATTTGTGCGTGCAGTTTGGGGAGCGGGCGCGTGAGCGAGGGAAGACCAAGTGGCAGCACCGTGTGGAGAGCGCCGTCAAGTGGCTGGAGAAGAAGGGAATTGCACGCGACAAGGACGACGCTGGCAGGATATTCGACAAGATGTGCAACTACGGGTTTGTGCAGACGGTGAAACCGGCCCGCCAGCTCATGCGGGCGGCTGCGACGTATTTCCGTGCACAGCAATACTTCAAGTGGCTCGACCCTTCCATGTGGTCTCGCACAGGTCACGTTGTCATCGCAGGGCACGAGCAGCAGCAAAAGAAGAGGGATGAGGGCCGTGGTGTTGATGGAGCGACGGACCAGTGGCAGAAGGCAGACAGCGCAGGTAAGGAAGACAACGCCGCATGTGCGTGTGCGTGTGTGTGTGTGTGTGCGCGCGCGTGTGTGCTTTGCTGTGTGATGTTGTGGCGCGTTTGTGCTTGCGTGCTATGCCTTTCCGTTTTGTTGGAGCCTCCACGCTCTCACAACGTTGCCCCCCCCCAACACACATACAACACAACACAACACGACGCAAGCAGCCCCTGCCGGCGGGAAGGTGCGTGGAAAGGACGAGTATGTGGAGATTGAGTGCCACCAGTCCGATCTCAACAACGAGAGTGACGCTGAACATGGAGACGACGACGATGAGGAGGAGGACGATGAGGATGAGGATGAGGATGAGAAGAACAGGAGTGGTGGCCAGCGCACGTTGTTGCGAAAATGGCAAGCGCTCCCGCAGCTGTTGCGCAAACACCTTCGCACAGACGCAACGGCTGCTCCCACGGCGCGAGATGAGGGTGGTTACGATGCAGCCGACACAGCCGCACACGACCACCGCGTCCACCACAACGGTGGTGACAGTGACAATGGTCATGACTACGAGACGCTGAGTGATGACACGGACACGGCGTGGAGTGACAGTGATCTTGACGACGACGATGACGACGACTCGTTTGATGATGATGATGATGATGACTCGTTTGGTGACGAGGATGAGAGTGATTCCTTTGATGATGATGACGATGATGAAGAGGAGACGGAACCAGCGGTTGGTGGTGGCGTCGGTGATGATCAGAAACAAGAGCAGCAAGCAGACATTGGCCGTGGTGGTGACGATGGACGGACACCGTTAGCGTCACCCGCGTCACGTCGTCTGGGTAGCAGCACGAGCAACAGCAGCAGCAGCACGACCACGACCGCCACGACAACGCCGACGGGTGTGCGGGGTGGGAGCTCACGCCGAAGCAGAAGAGGCAAGCGTACCACCAGCGCCAGCAGCCGCAGCAGTGGCAGCGGTGGTCGTCGCAGTCGCAAGCTGGCAAGCAGTCGCGCGTCGCGTCGGCCCATATCATCGTCGTCGGATGCGTTTGATGACGCTGGCTTGTCGTCGTCAGCGCAGTCCAAACGCACCTCCACACACCCCATGCCTCCCGTTGCAGAGGAGGCGGAGAAGGAAGAGAGAGCAGCGAGGAGCGAGAGCGACATTGGCGCTCGTCGCACCAAGCCTGCGGTGCCTCTGCCCAAGGCCAAGCCGCCACTTGCAGCAGCAGCAAAGGCGAGGCAGCCGCACGACACCAGCGGTGGTGTCGGTGGTGATGGCAGGACGGGCAGTCTTGACGCGACCGTGTCAGACTTGGGCACCATGGCCTCGACCGTGGATGTGTCTGTGCTTGATCACACACGCCAACAGCAGCAGCAACAACAACAACAGCAGCAGCAGAAGAGTGCGAGCCTTCGCTCGACCATTCGCCTGGATAGCGTTTCGTTGCAAGAGTGGCAGCACAAAAGCTACCGGCATTTGCGCGAGACGCTCGTGACGACCACAAACGAGTCGCCCAAGGACAGGCCAGACTACGGCTCCATGACGCAATCGATCATCCTGGATGAGGGAGGACCGATTTACGAGGCCGTGGACGACATGGAGCTGGACTTTGGGACCGCCACCGCCACAGCCGAGGGTGATGCTGGCGATGAGGGCCAGCAGCCACCCCCACCCCCACACCTGCAGCAGCAACAGCAGCAGGGCAGCGGCAGTGGCAGCAGCTTCCGGCTGTGCAATCCCATGGCGGCGCAGGAGTTGTGGCGGGACCGAAAGGACGTGCAAGAGAGCGGCGTGCTGGCTACCATGTCCAAGAAAGACATCAAACGGCAGGAAATCATTCGCGAGCTGTTTACCAGCGAGCTGGCCTACCAGAACGACCTCACCGCCCTCTTCAAGGTGCGTGTGTGTGTGTGTGTGTGGATGTACGTGTGTGTGTGTGGATGCGTGTATGTGTGGATGTGTGTGTGTGTGTGTGGATGTGTGTATGTGTGTGTGTGTGTGGATGTGTGCGTGTGTGTGTGTGTGTGTGTGTGGTACCACACGGTTTTGCCAACGCTGATTCATAATTCTCACCGCTATCCCATGCCTCACCATGCCATGATCTTCCACCTCCCTTGCCCATGCAGCAATACCTGCTGCCGCTGTACTACTACCAGGCGCAGCGTTCATCGGGCGGGGACGGCGGATTCGACCTCCGTGTCGTCCTCAAACTCTTCCCGGTACGCACACGTGCTTACATTTGCAGGCTTGCATACAGACTTTTGCAGGCATGCAAGCAAACATGCCTGTGTGGTGGCGTTTCGCTGTGTTGTTTGTGCCTGCCACGTTCTTCCCTCAGACCCAGTCCATGCGTCTGCCTCACGCTTATCGGTGTCATCCATCACCCTGACAACCTCCAACAACACCACCAACAACACCTCCAACAACACCTCAACACCAATAACACCTCCAACACCCACACCAACACCGATCACGGTTCATGGCGGGTGCAGGCGTGCAAGGACCTGATTGAGGCCGGGAAGGCGCTTCGTCGCGATCTGGAACAACGGATTGAGGAGCACGTGGTGGTGCCCGGCATTGGTGACATTCTCGCGTCGCACGTCAACAACCTGCGCAGCGAGTTTACAAACTACTGTGCGCTCTCCGTGCGCGTGCAGTCGTATCTTGATGTGCACAAGGAGGTGTTTAAGCGGCTCATTCGCGACATGATGACCGACACCATGCACAAGGGCCTGCCCTTCCTCGCATATGTCATTGTCCCCGTCCAACGCGTCGCCCGCTACCCGCTCCTTGTCAAGGTGTGTGTGTGTGTGTGTGTATATGTGTTTGTGTGTGTGTGTGTGTGTTTGTGTGTGTTTGTGTGTGTTTGTGTGTGTTTGTGTGTGTTTGTGTGTGTGTATACGCCGGTGTGCACGAACACGTGTGCGTGTAAGCGTGTGGTTATCCTCTCGCCCTTCTTCCTGTCTTTCTCTTCTTCGTTGTTCCATCTTCCATCCTCACATGCCCTTTTCCAATGCCCCCTCCTCACACACCCCAACACCAACCACACCAATGCTCAGAGCCTTGCGGACGCGTCTGAGGACCAGCCAGACCACCATGTGCTGACGGAGCTGGTGCAGCAGCTGCAGGAAACAGTGCGGCTGTGCAACGAGGTGATGCGCATTGAAGAGCAACTGGTTGAGCTGGAGCGATTGCAGGACCAATTTGACCTCATCAAGATGAAGGCTGGCGACTATGTTAGCATCAACGTGCGCGGCAAGCAGATTGTGAAGCGTGGCGAGCTGAAGCGCGTGCAGTTCAAGGCAGAGCGTGGCGAGTACCGCATTGCAAAGAGCAAGATGGTGGAGCTGATTCTCTTGACAGACTGGTTCATCTTCGCCAAGCAGGACAAGCGGTGGCGCGGGAAAACGAAACTCATTCTGTACCGCCAGGTGCCGCGCTCGGCCATCCACGTGCGCTGCGTGGATGACCTGGTCCCGACGAAGAAGGAAGGCACGACGCTGCTGTGCATCGACATCAAGACGAGTGACCCGGAGCAGCTCATCTTGCACTGTCAGAGCGAGTGGGAGCGGGAGCGATGGCTGGATGCACTCCAAGACAACGCCGTGCAACAGGACGAGAGCATATACGAGCCCCTCCCACGCCACCGCCGCGTCCGGGTCATATCCGACTATGAGTCACGCGGCGCAGACGAACTCACGCTGCACACTGGCGCGGTGCTCATTGAGGTGGAGCGGTGCGATGACTGGTCGAGGGGATACTTTGCCGACCGACCGCCAGACCCTGCACTCAACCCGGCACTGTGGTTCCCGTCGTCGTACGTGTGTGTGTACGACGAAACAGACGCAGCAGAGGCTGGCTGGGATTCCAGCGAGGTGTGACAACCGATTGGTTGGTTGATGGGTGGTTGATTGGTTGGTTGATGGGTGGTTGATTGGTGGTTGACGATGATGATGATGATGATGATGCTGATGATGATGATGATGATGATGATGATGATGATGATGATGATGATGATGATGATGTGTGAGCTTGGTAGGAGGTTGTTGACTTGTGGCGTTGTTTTGAAACAGGCTTTGGTGGTATCATAAGTTGAGAGTTAGCAGAAGTTCGTGCGTTCGTGTACGTTTGTCATTGCTCGTCGTGGTATTGGGTGTGCGTGTGTGGTTTGTTTGTGCAGTTTGATTGCGCACACACACACGCGCGCGCGCACACCCATTGTGCCCCTGCTGTACATTTCTATTGCGCCTTCCATTGTGTATGTGTGCCAGTGTCTGCATTTGAACGACTTATCAGAGCGATGGGTGATGGTGGCAGGCGTTGCCATTCGCTGGTTTGCGTCTTGTCGTTGTGAGGTGTGTGTGTGTGTGTGTGTGTGTTACATTACGTTCTCGCTCGCTTGTGAAGTGTGATTTTTCATGCTCTTGTGTTACATCCTTCACACGCACACGCACGCACACACGCTCGTGTATGCGCAGTACAATCATTTGAGTTGAAGCATTGTGATGGCGAACAAAGAGAAAGGTGTGTGTGTTTTGTGATTTGCGTGTCTGTGGGATTGTGATGTGCGTGTTTCGTCGTTTACTGGGATGGAGAGGTGTTGGCATTCACGGCAGGAACAACGCAACAACACCGCAACCGAGCGGAACAACACAATTACAGATGGGTGCTCATTGGAAGGTTAATGGGTGAAGGTGTGTGCAATGCACACGAGTATCAAAAATACACACAAAGAGACGCACACACACACACACACACACACACACACACACACACACACACACACACACACACACACACACACACGCGCGCGCGCGCGCACTACAACCATTAAAAAAAAACACGAGCGGGGTGGCTAGCTTGCTGGGTCGCTGCTTGACGGCGTTGGTGTGAGGAGGTCGGAACCGGTGTACATCTCAGAGTGCGCGGGTGTCAGGTCCTCGTGTGCCGGTGTCGGTGGTCGTGGTGTTGCCGCATCATCAGGGGCCGTGAGCGACGGCGGTGGCTGCCTCGCACCGGGCTGTCGCCGTTGTTGCGTGGATACAAAAGTCTTGTGGGAGGTGCCACCACCATCACCATCACCATCACCACCATCATCATCATCACCATCGTCACCATCGTCAGCATCACCCACAACTGTATCTGTGCTCTTACCCAAAGCGTCACCAAGCTCCGCCAGCCCGCCACCATCACCACGATCAGGGTTGGCGTGTCGGTCTTTGAACTCGCGCCACCACTGCGACGCGTCTGCGGTTTCGCCGCGCAGGAACGGGTGTCGCTGTAACAAACGAGTGGGTGAAGAAGAGAGAGAGAGAGACAGGGGGGGGGGAGGGAGTGATGGCCAGGGTTAGGATTGGTTGTTGGCTGCTTGTGATGTGTGTGTGTGTGTGTGTGTGTGTGTGTGTGTGTGTGTGTGTGTGTGTGTGTGTGTGTGTGTTGAATCGTTGGCGCTGTGG